TCTGAACTTGACCTACACTTAGACACCACCACCTCACCCCTCCACCCTCTTCCTTTCACTTGTTTGCTCCTATTAATCTTTAACTATTTTTATTACTTGGGTATCATTTCACCATTCATGTTTTAAGTAGGCTATATTCTACGTCAGAAGTAGGATTGTCATATTGGCAATTTTAGCCTCTTGCACATCCTCACAGAGGAGGGAGAATATTGAAAGGGAGGAATTAAAAGTGAGGAGTTAGGATACCACGGGCTTTAAAGTCATGGGGTGGAGGCCATTAGCTTTGCCAGTCTTGTTTCCAAATTCTCTTGGAGCCGTGAGGTGTCAGCCTACAAAAGCAATAGTTCAATAACAATCAAATTGATCAATGGCAGGCATCTCACTTACTTTAAGATGGCTGTTGACTAGTGGACACATACAGAAAGATGCACTGATTACCGACATTAACTTAACATGGACGATATGTCAAGTGTCATTCATTACACTGAAGGTGTTTATGGAGAGGAGAATACTGCAAAGAGGTCGAGAAAAGCCTTTGGGGTTGTTTTCCTTTGTGGGCTTCTGACTCAAAGCTTCTTTTGATGTTTTATACATCCCCCCTTTCTTACACTTGAATGGCCTCTTCCTGACCCCTGCTTATCTCTGGTTCACAGTCAGTTAGCCAGGAGGATTAAGTGGCCAAAATTTTTCCTGTTTGTCATGGCACTAAAGTTGAACCAGGAAACTTGATCATCCATTTGTCCTAAACTAACATTTGCTGCTATGCCCTTGATACCCTCCACAACTGAACAGTCAGAACAAAATAAAGAATTTAGTTAAGGCATCCATCTAAAGAAATTATCAAATACGTGGGTAGAATCTTATATGGGTCTGAGTGATGGGGTCTCTGGTGAAATCAGGTTGATAAGTACAGTGAGGCTCGGCTCAATGTCAAGATCATCTGACTGCATCTTTAATGGTTTTCACAAGCAGTGTGGCAAGATTCTTGATAGGCAGCAAGTTGCCAATTGATGGTGATTTTTCTTGTTAAATGCCTTGTTAACAGCCCAGCTCACTTTATTAATATTTAACCTGCCATCTCAACAAACCTGCCAACCAAACTCAATGTCAGGAAATCTCAACAAGAAAACCAGAGTGAGCACCTGGTGGATTCAGCTCACCTCTGGGCTCTGAATGATCTCCATCTTGGAAACTGGGCACAATCCATGAGCACAGCCGCATGCACCCCATATCCATGTTCATTGGCATCCAACATATGCCAGCATCTAAGAACACTCATGGCAAATCTCCGATCTTCTGCACTTCAATGCTGCACTAGCAACAGTCATTGTCATGCTGCAGCAAGGACACTGTATGCTCGGGGACATGTACCCAACCCAAAGAGTGAATCAGGATGTATCTCCGAGCTCTGTACTCACTGTCATAGTGCTGACACACTCAGAGTCAAATGATGGGCAGCAAACTATCCTCCTTGACACTTTCTGCCCTATTGGGGGCTGACGTCCTCCTGGAATGAGAGACAGGCAGATATTACAGGAGATGAAAGTGGACACCACACTGTTAGTTTTTGGTGAGGAGGCATCCTAAATGAGTGAGGACACAGAGGGCATGCCGAATTAATAGTGTCAGGTGTTGGAGTGGGCATGAGTGGTTGGGGAAAATGTTGCAGATAGTGGTGAGATAGAAAGTGGTAGTGAGAGTGGTAGAGCGTGAGCTTTGGCGGGAGGTAGGTACAGAAGCAGTGATAGAGTCAGTGCAAGTTATCAGACAGAAGATGGTGGCACTTATCCTGGTGGAATGCAGAAGGACATTGACACCGTGATTACATTTCTGGACATTTCTGTAGATGGCTAAGACTGCTTTAACCTGGCTGGCATGGTCTGGTGTCTGGTCTCTTCTGCTGATCCTGGAGGAGGAAAAAGCCCCACATCCACACTATTCCATATAGCACATCCTCCACATCGCTACTTGTAAAGTGTGGAACAGATTTCCTCTGCCTGCTGTGTCCAGGGCAAATGTCAGCAACTGTGTAGGGCAGCCCTGGATTGACATGATTGTCCAGATGTATAACATGCTTTCAAAAATAGTGCAGACATAAGGGATGCGGTGCTTCCACAGACATCCACTGAGTGGTAAGTTGTTTTGTAAGAAGGAGTGGAATTTGGACATGAGAGATGCCAAAGGAGTGTGGTAGGCAAACAATGTGACAAGTCTGGTCAAATATGGTAACTGAACCTGCTAGACCTTGTGATGAGAAACTCACCAAAAAACTCAACACAGCTTGGACTTAGCCAAAACAAAATGTCGCACATGTTCTGATGGCTGTGTTTTGCTCTTGTACAGATTCAGCTTCAGGAGCAACAGAACTGTAAACTAAACAGCATGTCAAAAAAATGTTATTCAAAAATACGTATAATATTTCCAGCCTTGAAATATTGCTGGTGGGATAGTATACAAAATGCAGATACGGATGCCTGGATGCAGAAGTCAAATACTGATGATAATTTCATATCTGACTGAGTTTTCACTACCTCAAATTGACATGATCTTGATACAAATCCTAAAGCAAATTGCAATAGTTCTGTTAGTGATATGGCCTCAAAGTAAGACTTTGGATTTGGATAATAACTCTAGAGTGGAGTCCACACCATCATTCTCTCAGCAGCAGGTTGGCAGTTCAGAACGTAAGAAATTCTGTTGATGATCAGAATGAATCCAACCACAGAATTTACATTAACCAAAGAAAACTCGAAGAATTGCTGGAAATCAGAAACACTGAAATCACTGGGAAAAACTCATCAGGCCTGGCAGCATCTGTGGAGAGAAAACAGAGTTAATGTTTCAGGTCCAATGGCCCTTATTCAGTTCTGAAGAAGTTTCAATGGTCCCAAAATGTTAACTCTGCTTTCTCTCCACAGATATTCCCAGACCTGATTAGATTTTCCAGCAATCTCTATTTGTGTTCAGAATATTTACATTGTTTTGTTGTGGAGTTTATGGTTGGTTCATTAGTTCTTAGCAATTGAGAGAAGGAGGTCTGTGTTTAATAAAAAGCCTTCTCAACTCTTAGAACAATCTAAACACATAAACTTTACCTGTCACTATACACCCAATGAAATATTGAGTTATAAAGGCAGCACATAACAAAAGATGTTTAAACTAACATAAACAGAAGAGGGTGAATTTGTTTGTGTGTGTGTATATATAAAAGGGAAAGACTTCTGAACTTACTTGTTGACCAAAATATGGTTCTGCCAAGTGCATGCTGCAAAAAGAGGGTAATTGGGAGGCACGACAGCGAATATGAAAAGGACTGTAGGCTAGCATAAGGTCAATTGATGATCTGGACCTCAGTATGAGAACAACCAGTATTGGGGTTGTGTCAATGTCAAGCAGATCTACAGACACTGATCAGTTGGTTAGGATGGTGGGGAGAGGGACGAATGTTTGAGAGGTGGACAGTGGTTTCAATGGAGAGGAAGGAAGAGGGCACCCTGACTTCAACCTCCATATTAAGTTTTCTTTTCCAAACATGCCTTGTTGGTGCTTGTCCCTTTAAGGACAGTTTGTGACTCCAGACCCACAGCAATGTGGTTGGCTCTGAACTGCCCTCTGGGCAATTAGGGATGGGCAATAAATGCTGCCTAGCCAGCGACGCCCTTATTCCTATAATGAATAAAGAAAAAAGAAAGAAATATGTAATTCGATGTTGGCTACATTCAGGAATATCTTATTTTACAGTTACCTCGAACGGGCATTTAGCCAGTTATTTACATATGCAAAAGAGCTAAAGGCTGCTTTCAGGTATAGGCAGTGATAACAATTTTGTTATCTACACCAATATGAGGACTGTGTGCTTCCAGCTTGTGCTGCGTAGCCCCTTGATTCCTGTCATATTGAAGACTTAAGTGCTAATTTCAAGAATTGGAATAGCACCATTTAAATTTCTAACTTTTTTCTCTAGTTTAATTCATAGAAGAGTAAAAACTGTGCACTGCGTTCCAATTTTACTGGCATAATTACTCTGCTCACAGAATGTCAAACACAAAGTAAGGTACTGGGTACTGCGGTCGGGCAGCACAGCATGGATTCACCTCCTTAGGGGATGAGGAGGAAATGAATGGCAAAACCTGAGTTAGAGATTATGCAGAGTTCCACAATATGCATCTTTCAGTGAGAAATCCTACAAAGCAGGGAACATCCGGAGCTCTACAAAATTGATTGACACATCTACAAACCAGATTCTTACCAACATATGTGAAAAGTAATGAGGAATCTTTTAAAGTATGAATTTATCAGAGATAATACTTAAAAATGACCTTCCATCTCAACCCTTCCATATACTGATAAAGGCAGCAAAAAAAATACTCTGCTTGAACCTGACTATTAAACACTCCAGCTGCATCTAAACTTCTCATGTACCCGATTATAGACCCATACTGAAACATAGCATGTTATTTGGCCTGATTTCTATGTGCTGCATTCTCAGAGGTGCTCTCCTTGGCATGAGTTTGCAAATTCCATTGAACTACTTGACTGGACGTTGAAAAGTCAATGAACAACATGAAGAAGATGCTAGGATCCTTCTGTTTTCCTGGGCAGTATCTTTCCATTAATCAGCACTAAAATAAAAATAATTTGACTGTTGATTCACATCACAGTGCTTATTGATGTTGAATATCTGGTATTCCTGCCATAACAAGAGCTGGTGCATGACAGAAAGATTACTGTTGTAGAGTATGTTGAAATGTTTGCAATGTGATGAAGATTATGTAGATTGAGGGGAAAGTGTTAGATACAAAATAAATCAAAAATATACAAAAAGATGAAACATGGACCATGTACATGAAAATAAACATTTTCTGTGTCATAAATGTTAAAGTGAAATGAGAAATAAAGTACTGATCCGCTGAAGATGATAAAGAATCTAAATATGTAAATTTCAGAAACATTCATGAAAACATTGCCATATTTAATAATTTTTTAATATTCTAAAACAGTACAGCCTAGACACTGGCCACCACCTCATCCTTACACTGAAAGTGCGTAACACAGCCTGATGACAGATCAACGGTAGATTCATCCTCTGGACTAATTATGGTGAGCCATGGCCTCCAGTCGTAGAGGCAAGTCACATGCTTTTTATTCTTTCATTGGTTGTGGCCATTGGCTTGGCCAGCATTTATTGCCTATCCTTAGTTGCCCTTGAGAAGCTGGTGGGGAAGTGCCTTTTTGAACTGTAGTCCAAGTTGTGTAGGTAAACCTGCAATGTCAAAAGGCAGGGAATTCCAGGATGGTGACCCAGCAATACTGAAGGAACACTAATACATTTCCAAGTCAGGATGGTGACTGGCTTGGAGGGAAACTTATGAAAAATGTTGTTCCCGTGTTTCTGCTGCCCTTGACCTTTGAGATGGCTGTGGTTCTGGGTCCCTCTATGACTGGGAGTCGGAGATTAAAAATAAGGCGGGGGGCACCCATTTAAGAGAGAGATGAGGAAGCATTATTTTTCTCCCAGAGGGTTGGGAGTCTTTGAAATTCCCTTCCTCAAAAGGTAGTGGAAGCAGAATCTTTAAACATTTTAAGGCAGAGGTAGATGGACCTTCATTATCAGGGGGATGAAAGATTATCAGGGTTGTGCAGGAATGTAGATTTGTGCTTAAAATCAGATCCATCATAAGCTGACTGAATAGCGGAGCAAGCTCTAAGGGCCAAGAGTCCTATTCTAATTCTTTGTTCATATGTTTGCAAGGTCTTGTCTGAGGAACCTTGGTGAATTTCTACAGTGCATCTTGCAATTGTTACATACTGCTGCTACTGAGCGTTGGTGGTGGAGGGAGTGGATGTTTGTGGATGTGGTGCCAATCAAGTGGGCTGCTTTGTCCTGGATGTTGTCAGGCTTCATGAGTGTTATTAGAACAGTTTTTGTCCAGGCAAGTGGGGAGTATTCTCTCAAATTCCTGACTTATGCCTTATAGATTGTGGACAGGCTTTGGGGAGTCAGGAGCTGAGTTATTCACTTACTAGCCTCTGATTTGCTGTGGTTTACTGTCTTTATATGGCAAGTCCAGTTAAGTTTCTGGTCAATGGTAACCTCAGGATGTTAAAAGTGGGGGATTCCCTGAATGTCAAGGGTAATAATTAAATTCCCTCTTGTTGGAGACAGTCATTTCCTGGCATTTCAGTGGTACAAACTTGTCACTTTTCCACCCAAACTTGGACCAAGTTTTGCCACATTTGGACATGAACTGCTTCAGTATCTGAGGAGTCGCAAATGGTGTTAGCATTGTGCAATCATCGGCAAATATCCCCACCTCTGATCTTATGATGGAGGGAAGGTCATTGATGAAGCAGCTGAAGATGGTTGTGCCTAGGACACTACCCTGAGGACCTCCTGCAGAGATGTCCTGGAGCTGAGATAATTGACCTCCAACAAGCACAGGCATCATCCTGAACGCAGCAGGCAGAGTCCCTATTGAATTCAAGGCAAACCAAATCCCACATTTTTTCTAAAAGAGGCCCTAACCAGAAGGATAAACCAGTAAAGCTGGTTAATGAGATACACTTGTCTTGTTTACTTAAAAAGGAGGCTGAATACATTCATTTCCATGTTTTCCTGGTTTTTTTCAGTGTATTTCCTCTTTTCAAATGGTCTAGCAGCTGGATTAGGTGGTCATCATATACATTCCCCCCAGTGCCTCATCCAAAACAGCAGCAAATTTGTTTCAAATAAGGTTTCAATGTGGAACACTGATCACTTAAATTAAGCTTCTTTCCTCCTGTTTCCCACTTGCCAATTAGCTGCAACTATTTTATACAAAATAACAATTTACAATTTTCCACTCAGCAGAGCAGAAGTTTCAGCATTTGCTGTCTGTCAGCGTGTTATATGTTTGCTGTTAATGAGTGCTGCCAGGTTTTATTTTGGGAACATTGGGTCAAAGTCCAACTCTGATGAAAAGCATAGACTGCCTGATCCAATTGTTGATACATAATAAATACTATTTGCTATGATATTGATCTCCTGAATCCAGTCGGCAAGAAACCGAGGAGTGAAAATCTTAGAAGTTGCCATCTGGCCTCCAATTTTTCACGTTCCCAATGCCCTAAAGTTGACCTTGGTGGACTCAGATGCCCCGTAATCTTCAGGGAATCCCTAGACAAAGAAACCACAGCGCACTAGGACAAGAGGAAATCCCCTCCACCTCACTGACGGACTGCTGGAGATTATTTCAAAATCTGTGTCCAACCTCTCCTTTTCACCCGCCAGCCCAAATGGAGAGTAGGGCCAGAACTGAGGGCACTTTGTCTAAATAAGTCCCTGCCGTTAACAATAGCAAGTCTTCCATTGTCCCAACCCCCTTCCAAGCTCATTAGCTGACGCTCGCTGGCCCCTGCAATATAAAGTCGAAGCCATGCATTCCTAGACCTCATTTCAGGCCAAGCTTTATGCTGAGGTGATGGCCCTAACCACTGGGTGAAAAATCAAGGGCTGGGCCTGCCTTCACTGGTCCCAGGGGGAAGCCACAAAGAGCTTTCATGGTCAGCAATTAGTTAACTATCTGAGCTAGTAGGTTCTCTGTCCAACCATGCAAACCCCAGCCCACTCCCTGCCCATCCACACATGCCCATCCCTGCCCATTGTGGAAGGATTTGCGATTTCCATGGGATTCATGCTAAGGAGATGCAGCGATGCTTCCCAGGCCCGGGAAGCATTACCTGGAGCGTTCAGTACAGGAGTAGGAGTCTCCCTGTATTATGTATGTGGACTAGCATCCCCAGGGCCAGTCAGGTAGGTCAATGCAGGGTACCAGTGGATGCAAGCATGGTTGGGGGGAGAGGGGGCAGGTGATGGGAAGCCTTAAAGGGATATTTTCAACTGGGGTAGTGGCCTTTTCCACCTCTTCCCCACCCCTCACGATGGTAAAATAGCATCAGCAGTAGGAATGGTAGCCATTAATAGCCAATTAAGAGCTTCAACTATCCCAAGAGCAGGTGACCTGCCCAACACTTACCCCCATTACTGGTAAAATCCGAGTGGAAGCATGAGACAGATTGGCAACAAGTAACAGAGCCCCTCTGCCATCCCACCTGATTTTACACCTTTCCCCAGCTCCACTTGGGGAGAGGTGGAGACTCGAGGGATGTAGAATTCTGACCTTGGAGTCACTGTCACATTTAATGAATCAATTGCCACGTGTAGCACAGAATTAAATGCAAAGCTAGCTTTCTGTTTGCTGGTTTGGGGCGGCATGGTGGCTCAGTGGCTCAGTGGTTAGCACTGCTACCTCAAAGTGCCAGGGACCTGGGTTCAATTCCAGCCTTGGGTGACTGTCTGTGTGGAGTTTGCACATTCTCCCCATGTCCGTGTGGGTTTCCTCCCACAGTCTGAAGATGTGCAGGCTAGGTGGATTGGCTGTGCTAAATTGCCCGTAGTGTTCAGGGATGTATATGTGGGTTATAGGGGGATGGGTCTGGATGGGACGCTCCAAGGGTTGGTGTGGACTTGTTGTGCCAAAGGGCCTGTTTCCACACTGTAGGGATTCTATGAAATCCTCCTAATTTCTGCCATTTGATCTGTAAATAACAGGAGCTGTATCTCAGCTGAGGTTCTTGCCAAGAGGTCCCCCTGGATAATAATAATTTCCTCCAGGGAAAGAGTTCAGTATCATGGTGATTCCAATGTGCCTCTAACAGCAAATCTGCCTTGGAGGAAAAATGGGTGCAGTTTCCATCAGTGCCCAAAACATTTTCCAGACAGTATTCACACACCAGAAAGAGGATCATACCACATGTACATTGCAGGTGACTCAGCAGAATAACATAACTTTCTCACAGGCAAGGTCCAACTGAGTGCACACCCATTTTGTTGATAATAAATCAAGGAACAGCAGAACAGCATTAAATCTATGTTACAAATGAGAGAGTCCAAATGTGGGAAATAGCAGCTGCCAGGAATGTGTTGAGAAACTTGTAACTTAGGATCAAAGAATAGTGGCAGCTCAGAAGTAGGCCATTCAGCCCATCATGCCAGTCTTAATCATAATGGTTTCTCTTGATTTCTGATGCATTTTGACATTTCTTGGCGTTGATGGTCTTCCAAATAGCTTGTTCCTAGTAATCACTTTCCCATAGATAAATGTAGGGCTGAATTTGAAGTTGGAAGTAGAATCCCTGCCCCCGGCCTGATGTAAATGCTGGTGGCTGAGCCTGCCTGTACTTGGTCAGCTTTCCCCATATTTATTTGACTACAGCCAGGCCTTTCTTTAGCATGAAGCAGGAGTTCTGCCCCCTACCAGAAAGAGTTCTGCCTCAGAGAGCTGCCAGCAGCTGCCTTAGCCCAGCGGTGCCACCAGGAGCAATGGCCATTCCTGGGATTGCAACAGTCCCTAAGGAATGTCTTCAGCGATGCAACCTAGACTGAGGTCAGAATGGGGTTTTGCCAGAGCCACAGTGACAGGCCCCAGAGAATTAGGGAATTGGGGGGAAGAAGGGTGTCATAAATCAGCAGGGGGCAGATATGAGTGAGCAATAGCAAACGCTTAGCCCATCCACTAGGACCTCAGCTCATGCTGGGTGAGCTGGAGACCTTGTATAGGTCTCTCCCATCGCAGCGATATTCACAGCAGCAGCAGGACAAAGCCGCTCATTAGCTTCTAATTGGCCACATAAGTATCTCATTTGGCCCATGGGCAGGTTGGTTACTCGACACTACCATTTCGACTCCTGTACATTTCGGCCTGCGCCTATGCACACACAACACAGGTGCTGAGGACAATAAACACTACTGCCATTTGGCAAAAAGAAAAGAAGAAAAATGAAAAGGAAAAGAAAAATATATATATAACCAGGGGATTAGAATCTCCTCAGTTGAGAATTGACTCCAAGCTGGATGGCTACAGCCAATTTACTGTGCGCTAGTAAATAAAGAGTGACTTAGTGATGGCACCTGGCCTCTTAAAAAAAAATAAAACACATCCTCCAACTTGGTCTACTTATCCATTGTTCCCGATGTGGCCTCCTGTACATCGGGGAGACCAAGCATAGACTCGGGGACCATTTCTCTTGCATCTATGCTCTGTATGCAAC